ATTCTTACAACTACAATACCCACCTGCTGAAGAGAAGAAACAGATTGACAGAGCCAGAAGAGTACCCAGAAGTTACCTACTACAGGACAGGCCCAACAAAGAAAATAACAGAACACCACTAGCCATCACCTTCAGCCACCAACTAAAACCTCTCCAACGCATCATCAAGGATCTACAACCTATCCTGAAGGATGACGCATCACTCTCACAGATCTTGGGAGACAGGCCAGTCCATGCTTACAGACAGCCCCTCAACCTGAAGCAAATACTCACCAGCAACCACACAACAGAACCACTAACCCAGGAACCTATCCTTGCAACAAAGCCCGTTGCCAACTGTGTCCACATATCTATTCAGGGGACACCATCATAGGCCCTAATCACATCAGCCACAATATCAGAGGCTCGTTCACCTGCACATCTACCAATGTGATATATGCCATCATGTGCCAGCAATGCCCCTCTGCCTTGTACATTGGCCAAACTGGACAGTCTCTACGTAAAAGAATAAATGGACACAAATCAGACGTCAAGAATTATAACATTCAAAAACCAGTCAGCGAACACTTCAATCTCTTTGGTCACTCAATTACAGACCTAAAAGTGGCAATTCTTCAACAACAAAAACTTCAAAAACAGACTCCAATGAGAGACTGCTGAATTGGAATTAATTTGCAAACTGGATACAATTCACTGAGGCTTGAATAGAGACTGGGAGTGGATGGGTCATTACACAAAGTAAAACTATTTTCCCATGTTTATTTCCCCCACCTCCCCCCGCTGTTCCTCAAACGTTCTTGTCAACTGCTGGAAATGGCCCACCTTGATTATCACTACAAAAGGTTCCCCCCTACCCCCGCTCTCCTGCTGGTAATAGCTCACCTTACCTGATCACTCTCATTACAGTGTGTATGATAACACCCATTGTTTCATGTTCTCTGTGTATATAAATCTCCCCACTGTATTTTCGACTGAATGCATCTGATGAAGTGAGCTGTAGCTCACAAAAACTTATGCTCAGATAAATTTGTTAGTCTCTAAGGTGCCACAAGTCCTCCTTTTCTTTTTGCGGATACAGACTAACATGGCTGCTACTCTGAAACCTACTTTATCCTATGTCCAATTCCAACTGCCTGTACATAACAATAGCAAGAGCTTCACAGTGCCCTACCCAGGCTCTGTTTGGGAAGCTCAGCCCTTAAAAGCACAGTCCCAAAGTCCTGCCACAAAGCCAGGAGCCTGGAAATCCTGGGACTGCCCTGAGCTGTGGACCACAGTGCTTTCAGACTCCCAGGCCAGCTGGTTCCCTGAGCTACCCAACTCCTGCAGCCTGGTAGGCTAGCTATACTGCGGGAGTCTGGAAGTCTGGGATACCTGGCCCACAGCAGTCAACATAGTGGGAATGCCCTGGAGCTGCAGATCCTGAAAGCCCTGGCAGCTGCTTACTAAAATTGACATGATTCTTGTCAGTCTCACGGTGGCCTACCACTAAATAGCATCAGTGGTGGGCAGCAGTGAAGCACATAATAATCATGTCAATTTCACTCAGCAGCTGCAGGGTCTGGAGAGTTGCTTTTTTCCATTTGGAAACATCATGTTTCAGAAAAGATCTCGGAATCTCCAGTTCACAGGAAATTGCAAACTGGTGAAATTTTTGATGAACCAGAAATTGTGAGCTTTGCCAGCTGTATTCACCACATGTATCACTATTTGTTGTTATCATTGATGACTGACCACTTTGGTCACATGGCATCATTTGTTTCCCAGCTGGGTGAATGTTACTACAGTACAACCTCAGAATTACTAACACCAGGGTTACAAACTGTCCAGTCCACCACACCCCTCATTTGGAACCAGAAGTATGCAATCAGGCAGCAGCAGAGACAAAAATAAAATAAAAAATAAGCACACTACAGTACTGTGTTAAATGTAAACTACTAAAAAATTAAGGGAAAGTAGCATTTTTCTTCTGCATAGTAGTTTCAAAGCTGTATTAAGCCAATGTTCAGTTGTAAACTTTTGAAAGAACAACCATAACATTTTGTTCAGAGTTACGAACAACCTCCATTCCCGAGGTGTTCATAACTCTGAGGTTCTACTGTATAATAAAGACGGGGCACGTATGACCAAGTCACTGAGCCTTTGATTCTCTCCAGGAGCTGGTAATAGCAGCTAACAGGGGAATTTGGGAGGGAGTGTGAGCAGCTTTCCTTCCAGGTTCAGCACTATGTGTGATATCGAGATGGACAGCAATGGAATAGTGGTGGTGACCAGCAACAGATGTGCCCTATTCTTTCTTGCCTGAGGACCAAAGGGATTTCCTGTATACGAAGTGCAAGTTGGTGGCTGTGCTGGAGGAAAAGATTCTTGTATTGGAGGGGCAAGTGGACATGGTACTAAGAATCAGAGAAACTGGGGATTTCCTAGACAACCAGATCTGGGAAACACCCATACTGCAGAGTCAAGGAAGAATGGAGCCTGGAATCATTGAGAAAGGAAGTCAGAGAGGACTGGCATTTCATAACCACCAGAGGCAAGAGATCATGGTTGGAGACAGATGAGGCTAGACAGACTGTGGCCACCAGAGAGAAGAGAAGCAGGAGGAATTCTATATAGCTAGAAGTTTAAAATCAATACCAGGTCTTCAACATGGAAACTATGGAAGATGCTTCTTAAGATCCAGCAGGTCTGAGGGAATGGAGAAATGTATGGATGGCAGCTTGGCCCAATCTGTGAGGAAAAATCAAGCTTATCCACAAAGAGTTCTCCAACCAGCCAATGAAGACAGATAGATCCTCACTGGAGATTCAGTACTAAGAAGAATTGAAAGAACATTCTTCAAGGGATAGACAGACAACAGGACAGTGTGCTGCATTGCTGGAGCCATGACACAAGTCACTCTGAGATTGGGTAGGCTTCTGGAGTCTACATGTAAGGATTCATTGGGGATGGTTCATATCAGCACTAATGACATTGTCAGGGGATATCTTACAGATAATAGATGGCTTCAGGGAACTTGGAAGTATGCTGAAGAAGAAGAATATTCAAGCAATCTTCTCTTAGATACTTCCTGTCTGATGAGCAAAGGGAAACAGAAGGCAGAAGATTCTGGAAGTGACTCACTGGCTAGGTAAATGGTGTAGGATAGAGGGTTTTGGTTTTGTGGAACATTGGTCCACGTTCTGTGGGGAGAGGAGGCCTCCACCTCAGTAGAAGGGGAACCAATATCTTTGGGGACAGGCTGGAGGCAGTTAAACTAATAGCAAAAGGGCAGGGTAAAAAGAGAGAAGATATGAGCACTCAGCACACAGCTGAGAAACCTGAAACATGGTAGGATGATTTGCACTACTGGGATGTTAAAATCAATTGTTATAATCTATTTAGGAAGGATCAGTTGGGGGAAAAGGGGAGGGGGAGTGGCACTCTACATCAAAAATGGAGAGGGTTCAGAGAAGAGCCATGAGAATGATTAAAGGATTAGAAAACCTGCATTGTAGTGGCAGATTCAAGGAGTTCAATCTATTTATCTTAACAAACAGAAGGTTAAGGAGTGACTTGATTACAGTTTACAAGTATCTACCTGGGGAACAAATATTCAATAATGGGCTCAAGCAGAAAAAGGTATCACATGATCCTAGCTTGAAGTTGAAGCAAGACAATTTCAGACTGGAAATAAGGTGTACATTTTTAACGGTGAGCCTAATTAATCTTTGGAATAATCAGCCAAATGTCGTGGTGGACTCTCCATCATTAACATTTTTTTAAAATCCAAACTGGATATTTTTCCAAAATATATGCTCTAGCAATTATCTGGAGGAAGTTTCATGGCCTGTATTGTACAGAAAGTCAGACTACATGATCCCTTTGGTCCCTTCTGGTCATAGAATGAGTGAATCTATAAATTGGTGGGAGCAGTTTGTGGAGGTTTTGAAGAGGATGGCCAACAGGATTAAGAAGATACATTTCAAAATGTTTCCTTTCACACTTTTCCCAAAACATCAATACTGAAAAAAAATAAGATTATTGTAAGATTTGTAGATGAGGATAACATTTAAAATGAATTTTTATCTAGTTCACACAACGGTATTGTGTACAGCATGTGTGCATAGTCCCAGTCACAAAGTGGGTGGCCAGATTCTTGTCTGGTTTATACAGCGGTTTGGCAGAGCTCTGGTCAGGGACTTCGGCTGGCTGTAACTGAGAAATGTGAGGTCAGTGTCAGTGGCAGGGTTCTAGCTTGGGGTAACACCGTCAGTATAGTGCTGCATTGCTGTTAAGATCTGTAGAGTAATTTTTCATACATCTATCAAGGACTTTTAAAAAAATAGTTTACTGGCCTCCAATTTTCTACCACCTACCGTCACATTCACTATAATTATTGTCCCAAAAAGTTAGTAATTTCACTACAAGTGTGTGCTGATCTACTGCAAATAAATAATTTTTATTAGAAATAAATTCTACTTCCATCTCTGCACAAAATGAAATCAGTTTGGTCATTATTACATATTTTTTGACTACAGGCTCAAAATTTGTTTTCCACAAATTTTCATGCAAAATTTCTTATATGAATATTAACAAAAAGCTACTGGGAAAATGAAGTGTGGTTTCTAGTTTCCTAAAAAAGTTTGTGAATAGTTTTGTGCATATTAAGAAAATTAGTTTATTTTCAGAAAGGGAAATGCCTTCAACCAGTTCCCTCTCAATTTGAGTCCATAATTTTCATAGAAACTTCTTGGAAAAGTGTGAGAGAAAAATCAGTGTTGTGGCATACGAAGAGTATTGCGACAGAAGTACCTGATAAAAGCAAAACAGCATTACAATGAGAAGTGTGTAAAGAATTTCTTTTGATTTACTAGACAGATGAATGATATTGCAAGAGAAAAAGATGGAGTACCCGTTTCAATAGCATAGATACTTTGGTGCCTAGATATTTCAGTGACTGCTACTACGTAAATACGTAGCATAAATTGAGAAAAAATTAGTGATGTTGTTAGTTTTACCAGAATAATGACATAGTGCATTCCATCTTTTTTCAGCTGTTGAATGTACTCTGGCAGACCTGCATAGTTTTCTTTATCATAGGTGAAGTCCAAACGACGCTCCATGTAGTCGATATCACCATACTGGACATCCTGACAGTTTTGAACATGAAATTATTTTAGTATGTTGTTAACGAAATCAGAATTTATGCTACTTTATTTAAGAAGCCTCAAAAAGTAATTAATCTGCCATCAAATGTAATTTAAACTATTTTGGATATATCAAAAAAAGGAGATTTCTGATTAACTTTAAGAATAAGGCAGCTAAATTATGTAATTGAGAGCAGAACTGGGTTTTAAAAAATCATTTAAATTTGTGAACTCCTGGGATACTATTTGCCAAATCATTACACAGAATTATTAATACTCTCATACTGTACAATTCACAGGGCAATTGTTCCCTTCTATTATTATTTTTTTACTCATTTCATTTTGAGAAGGTAATTAAATAATTAAACTGCACTTTGAAAAAGTCATACTTACATATGGAATACCATACTGCTGCATGCGATCAACTGTTTTCTTTACCACATCAAGGCTGTCATACCCATAACGAGACAGCTGAAATCCCAGAGACCAATAGGAAGGAAAATGTGGGCGTCCAATGGCCTAAACCAGGAATTAATACATTCTAATAGACGAACAGAAAACCCTGGAGACAGAAATATAACGTAATTCTAAGAAGAATACATGTTTATCACCATAGCTTCCACACACTCGTTAAAACAGGGGAAAAGGAATGGCTCACAATCTTTGTTGTGCTATTTTACTCAACTAGCAAAGTGTGCTATGAGAAAATACTTGCTGTAAAATTCTGCAATTAAATTATTTTGCTTCATTTTTCCAAGAATGATACAGCAACAAATATTGGGGCAGATTATATACATTTGCTCCGCTGGTGCACCAGGGCATTTTTGTATGGGGGATGGTACTCACTAATTCTCCAATCCTATTTGAGCCTCTGTGCAGCCCCTTACCCACTGGAGACTAGAGGGGGTCCATTCAAATTGTTTTCAACCTCAACAAAAATGCCCTCAACAAAAGTTGTTTTGATCATAATTTTTCATTATTCAATAAAAATTTCAATTGGGGGGGGGTGGAGAATGTTCTGTTTCAATGGGAAATAAAATCACTCACCTATTTTTTACTTTTTTTCAGTGGAAATAGATTAGAAAATGGGGGGATGTCACTGAAACTAAATGTTTTCCTATTTAAAAAAACCCCAACAATTTCACAGAACAACATGAACAAAAAAAAACAACAAACGGTTAGTTTCTTTCTACTTTTAAAAAATATATACTTACCTTTTTTCAAGCAGCTCTCCTGTAGAGCCCTGCTGACCTCCCCACACAGAAACACAGAGCTCTAAACGCCACAGAACTACTGTTCTACAACCATGGTAGGGAGCTAGGGGAGCAGGTAGCAGCAGAGGGTCTCTGCAAGGAGGAATGTCGCTGCATGGCAGATCCAGTTTAGAGGAGCAGAGCCAGGGAGATGTGTCCGGAGAGCAGCCACCACCTGGACGGACAAATCTCATCTCTCCCAGCTGCCACTAAAGGCCTTCAGGCTCTAGTGTTCGCAATGGAGTGGACATGCAGCTGCTCTGCACCAAGCCCGTTACGTTCACTTCACATAGCCCATTTACTCAGGCTTTTTTCGGGGGAGAGGGGGGATCAGCATTTGGTCTCATTTGACGATAAGCTTAAGTTTGCAGAATAATGACAAACAATGTCACTATCAAGCATTTTGGCAGAAACTTCTAGCTACTCCAGTGCTGTGGGCAGAGTTTGGGGATGTAGGCTGAAGACACCTTCACATCTGAAATTTTTATATATATATATTTTTAATTGAAATGAAGTCATACACAAAGCCAGCCTATGTAAACGAATATTCTCATTACCACTAATGTTTCCCTTCTAATATAGGTTGCACACATTGTGCCTTGTTTTGAGTGACACTGAAAGCTCTTCTTATCAGGGACTGTCTTTACCTATATGTTTGAAGACCACCTAGCATAATGAACCCCTGTCCTGAATGGGACCTTTGAAAGAGAAATAATTATAAGACTAATAGTCTAAGGACTTGTCTTCATTACTATGTTACATCAGTGCAGCTGTATCGATGCAGCTGTGCCAATGTAGCGCATCGGGTGCAGATGCACTATGCCGACAGGAGAGCGCTCTCCCATTGCAAAATTACTCCTCCTCAGCAAGAGGCGCAAGCTATGTCAGCAGGAGAGTGACGCCTGCCGACATAGCGCAGTGTGGACACTGCTTTAAGTTGGTCTAACTTATGTCACTCAGGGGAATGGCTTTTTCACACCCCTGAGCGACGTAAATTAATCTGTTTAAGCAGTAGTGTAGAGAAGCCCAACGTGTATTGTTACGTAGTGGTTCAATACAATCCCTGGGTTTTGCACATTCATTGCCAATTATCAAACCTGTTGGTGAGTAAAAGGCAAATGTTTAATTACTATAGCAATGTGACAATGTGAACCAGAATTAGATTGTTTCTCCTACCACATCCTGCTAAACTAGCTCATCAAAAGGTTGGTGTTTATTCTGAGCTCTCTGAAATTTCCATCATTTGTACACGTCACCTGGATCAGACTCTCCTTTGAAATTCAGTTACCGACAATTGACTATTTACAGGGTTGAGTCACAATGTTGAATTGCCAGCCAATGACTTTTCAGTTATTTGATTTTTTCCCTACATAATAGAATAAATTATAAGCCAGTTTAAAAAATGATTGAGGAAATTGAATACAAAAATTCTCAAGCAACATGGGATGATGTGTTAATTTCTGTGTCTGTATATAAGTCGCTCTTGCTGTTTAAAACTAATGCATAGCAATGATGGTGTTTGGGTTCCAGAAAGAAGCCAAAGGTTTGGGGCATATACACTGTTCTTTTCTGTAGGCCAAATCCGAACATCTTTACTCCACGTTTACAGGATTTGGCTCCATGAGATTAACCTCCATACACTTTCGTTATCCCAGTCAAATTCCAAATCATCCTTGCTGGAAAGGTAATTCCGCTCCATGAAAATAGAAGATGTACTGGGTCTTTATGACTATCAGTTAACTACAGCCTTTGATGCTCTAGTATGGATGTAGCCAGTACTCCTTCCCTGTGCCCCTCAGATCTTCATGGTTCTGTAATTATGCACAGCAGGAGAAGTGAGAAGGAACAACACTTGAGCATTGGTGACAGAAAATACCAGCATGGAATACATTGAGAGACTGCGTATGATCCTTAGGTAATGGAACCTCACCACTGTTAATACGTTATTGCTATGCATAAAGATTAAACATTTCTTCATAAGTGATCTTCTCAACTGAGAGAATAATATGAGAAAGCAATGCTTGAAACTGAAGTTGCCCGAATATACATACCATAGTCTAGAGTCAATTAAATACAGAGAGCCAGAATGAAGCAGTATGTATAAGCCACAGCTGAATAGAGAGGTTGTTTTAGAGGGTCAGTTCCTGAGGTACTCTCTGCCTGCAGAAAACCGAGGCTGACAAAATGCCTGTGAGCTCACGAGGGAGCACATGGAGGACAGGTAACTGCTATGGCTTTTAATTGTGGAGCATGTGGCCAGCCAGGCAAAAGGGCCACCTTTAGCACTGAGAATCAGGATTTTGGCTACCAACTGAACAACGCACAAGGTGGGAGGGATGATTCCGTACACACCTCCTTCCCCTGGGCACTCATTTCAGAATGGCCAGATTCTGGCCCAAAGCAAATTGCACTGTCTCTTTGGCTCCAGTCCTTGCTAGGCTGTGTGACACCTACCTGCCCTTGTTTGTTTGTTTAGTTTCAGTTGTTCTCAGTTAGGTAACTATTCTCTTTAGCCTGTAAACGTCAGGTTTACTCTAAGACAAGGCTGTATGTTGCCACAGCGTCCCTGGGGGAATTTGGAATTAAAGCTGAGTGATTTTGAAAAAAACCCACCTTGCAAGCAAGGTTCACTTTTAAAACAATTAGTTCCCCAGGTTGGCCAGGCTGGAACATGAGATGAGCTTAATTCAAATCAACAGAACGTTCTAAAAGGAGGGATAAAAATAGGGCAACTGGAAAAACAAATTACTTCTAATTGTGCTGTGGACTCTAATGGATCCCCGTGCAGCATCCTGATAAAGTAACTGACATATTACACCTAGTACAGATGGAGCAGAAGCAGAGATGTAATTTTGCAGTCCTGGATTTTGTGATAGTTTTGATATATATTTAGGATACACAAAACTTAAATAAAATTTATCTTGCATACAGAGGAACATAAATTGCTTTACATAAAAACAGTGACTCTCCTAGAAACAGAAAGGGGAAATGATGCGTGAGGAGGGAAACAAAGGAAAGAAAATATCAGAAATTTAGAAGCTGTAAAGATATAGGGTAGTTAGAGGGGAAATCGAATAGAAGGCTGCCACACTGGGAAAGTGGAAAAGTGGGTTCTTATTGTCTCTATTACAGTTCCTCCTAAACACAGTCCATAATAGTTAAGAGCAGGGAGGAATAATGATCCCTATGGATGTTACAGTAGTATCACTGTGAATTTTCCAAGTCTGACAAAAACTAGCGTTAATGTAGCTATTTCACTACTGCTAGATGTACGTCAGAAGGAGATTCAGGTGAATACAGAAAATAGCCTCTGTTGAAACAAAGAGGTTCCTTGGGAGTATGTATGTCATAAGAACATAAGAATGACCATACTGGGCCAGACCAAAGATCCATCCAGCCCAGTGACCCGACAGTGGTCAATGCCAGGTGCCCCAGACGGAGTGAACCTGAAAGGTAATGATCAAGTGATCTCTCTCCTGCCATCCGTCTACACCCTCTGACAAACAGAAGCGAGGAACACCATTCCTTACCCACCCTGGCTAATAGCCATTAATGGACTTAACCTCCATGAATTTATCCAGTTCTCTTGTAAACCCTGTTATAGTCCTAGCCTTCACAACCTCCTCAGGCAAGGAGTTCCACAGGTTGACTGTGCGCTGTGTGAAGAAGAATTTCATTTGTTTTAAACCTGCTGCCCATTCATTTCATTTGGTGGGCCCTAGTTCTTATATTATGGGAACAAGTAAATAACTTTTCCTTATTCACTTTCTCCACACTACTCATGATTTTATAAACCTCTATCATATCCCCCCTTAATCTCCTCTTTTCCAAGCTGAAACGTCCTAGCCTCTTTAATCTCTCCTCATATGGGACCCATTCCAACCCCCTAATCATTTTAGTTGCCGTTCTCTGAACCTTTTCTAATGCCGGTATATCTTTTTTGAGATGAGGAGATCACAGTATTCAAGATGTGGGTGTACCATGGATTTATATAAATGGCAATAAGATATTCTCCGTCTTATTCTCTATCCCTTTTTTAATGATTCCTAACATCCTGTTTGCTTTTTTGACTGCCACTGCACACTGTGTGGACATCTTCAGAGAACTATCCACGATGACTCCAAGATCTCTTTCCTGATTAATTGTAGCTAAATAAGCCCGCATCATATTGTATGTATAGTTGAGGTTATTTTTTCCAGTGTGCATTACTTTACATTTATCCAGATTAAATTTTATTAGGCATTTTGTTGCCCAATCACTTAGTTT